CCATGCGTCGAGGTTTCCGTCATATGTCTTGCCGCAAATCAGCATATCAGCACTCCAATTCCTAGCACGCTACCTAACCTGTGAAGAAGCGGAAATTGAGAAGTTGAAAGCCGGCCAGTCTCCATAGCTGATGTGGATATCGTGTAAAACTTGAATTGTGAGTATTACATGACCTTTTACCTTTGACCTTTTAATATGACCCCTTATTTACCTTATCCTTTGCCCTCCGTGAATAGAGCCATTTTTGCTGAAAGTTTAGGATTTTACAATCCTCAATATAGCATTCTTCTTCTTCTTGTTTGCCTTCCTTGCCTTTTTACCACCTTTTCCTACAATGTTTCCAGGCCCCCACTGCATCAAGAGCCATTTCAATACGCCAGTTCTCCCCTCTCTCTCTTCCCCCCGGTCGGCACACCGCATGTGGCCCAAATAACCGCGAGACTGCTGACAATTGATATTGCTTCTCCCTCCCCCTCTGGTTCGATTGCAGCTGTCGTCACCTCGCTGATCTCAAAACGCTTACAATTAGCGGTCGCCAAACCCGCCGCTTGTCAGCGCAGTATCCCCTCTGTTAACGTCCACCCCCTTTCACGCTGGTCTTTCAGACCAAGGGAGCCCACGGGAACTGCCGCCTAAAATCACATAAAAGTAACAGTCTCCGTGTCTCCCATGAACACATACACGCTCCCCCAAGATTGGTCTTGTCCTGAGTGGCATTGCTGTCGAACGTGTGTTATTCCCTTGTGTAGAGTCAAGCAATTTGGCCGACTTCCTCCCTTCTTGACTTTTTTATCCATTGTTGAGGTTGGCACAAGGTTTATCCTTTAATATTTTGCTGCATAGTACCGTACTGCCTTGATAATTGTTATCATTGGGTTTTACGTAAGCGTGACTGCTGGATACAAAGCCAGAGAAGTCAAGAAGACGAAAGATATAATTTTCAAACGATTCTTAAACAGCTGTGGGGACGTCACCTCACAGTTCCACGAGAGTTCTGTTACCCAATGCGTGAAGAAGTTGAAGCGAACTATTGACTTCTAAGGAATTCGTTTGAATCCAGATACCTCGTAGCAGGTTGTGCATAATATCGTATAGGTGTGGATTAAGCAGTCATTCCGCTTACTGTTAGTGTAGTAGGTGGCTAGCTAACTGCAACACAAGTCTACTTCCAATTAGAACTAATCGACGCGTAAGTCACCATCCCTGCACCACCCCGTTGGGGGAGCACACGATGACCTCGTCAGAATCGACGACCGAACTGTCGGGGACTGACAGCTAACGCTGGGAGGATGCCGTCACCGCCAAACAGCCGGTCCTTCATAGGAGAAATGTCATGTTTTGCAGACCCTCACTTCAAATCGAGAAGGCAACCCATGATCACATTTTCGAATATCTGGGCAGCTGGAGACTTTAAGTGCGCAGCCACGGACTCCCTGCTAAAATTAAACACTTTGAAACTGCAAGTCCCAACTTGAAGTCCATATTTCTTCTGCTTTAGACTTTTTAGAAGCTAATGCATTTGCACACTGTCTGTAAACACATTTGCCACCAAGATTTGCAGGTTGGAAGTCAGTCTCTGTAAAGAATCGTCCTTGCTTGAGCTTCCACCCGCCATAATAGGAATAGTCGGTCCCCAGGTCTCCATAGTAGACTCACTGATGTTTGGGTCACTAAAACGAGTTCAACCTGTCTCAAACAAGTTGGCGCGACTTTTCTGGTAGACATTAATGATTTCTGACCCACTCATACATATCCTTCAATTATATTCCCCGTAACCCTTACTTAACTAGATAATGCCGACAGTAGCGTATTTCGTTTGGCCAGAAAAATTGAGCACAGGGCTTCCTGTAGGAATGCTTATTAGGGGTTTCATATATGCAGTCAATGATAACGATAATCAACGGAATCTGCGGAAGGCATTGCGAAAACTACCATTTATGTGTATTTTTTCTTAGTAGTCTGTCGAAAGGAGTGACTGTCGACTACAAAATGTGAACTGTGGAACAGGAACTGGCAAAAGGCTCTGCAGGAACAGGCTGCTCACAGTAAGTGAGTCAGTTGATGTGTGTGTGTTCTCTGTGCCTCGGCGCACAGGTTACGGGATCTGGAAACGTCATCCAGTAAATCAGGAAAT